AGCCGGCTGACGCTGCAGGCGGCTTGGCAGTGGGGAGTGGAGAGTCACACACAACAGGGGAGGTGGAGGGGCCAAGGTGCAGCTCGGATGGGACAGACCCCAGCCCCAGAGAGATGCAGCGCCCAACTTGATGCCAGCCTCCAGCTTCTCCGGTAAGTGCCCCTGCCCTCTTTGCGGAAGTCTCAGCTGCCCTTTCCCGTGGCTTTCTCAAAGACAAGGCCAGGCTAAGTGTGCCTGTAAAGGAAAGGGAGCTTGCGCACCCTCCGCCCCAGTCAACCATTCACCCTGCCCCACAGGGCTGTGATTGGAAAACTAAAATGTCCCAGATAACCCTGGTGGGGGGACTCCAAGGAGACCACCCCTCCTTCTCCCTAGTGTTGCTTCTACCTCTAGAAAGGGTTTTTCCCCCCTACAGTCAATGTGGATACTCGAAAAATCTCTCTCCTAAGTGACCCCTCCCCATGCAGGTCTCCGTGCCTCAATCAGGTGTGCTTTTAAAGTGGATATGTGTTCCTCTGGGTCTGTGGTTGTCACACAGAGACAAGAAGAAAGCTCCATATCCCTGAGGGGGCAATGCCCCAGACTCCAGACCCTAGAAGGAGAGAAAGGGCTTCTGTAATATCTGTCTCTTCCTGCAAAGTGCCCAGAGGCCAGTCCTGTAGCCACAGAGGATAAGAAAGTAAGACTCTGATTAAATTAGCCACCTTATAAATAAAAGATGTTAACCCAAAGTTCCCCAGCCACTGAGCCAGAAGGCTTTGGGGACAAAGAGGAAACTCATGGAAGCAGGAAGGAGGGAGCTGGCACACATGCTTCACTGCACTTTTGCTGAATGCAGAGCAAAGGAATGAGCAGGAACTGCAGCAACAGTGATGAAGAGCTAGCTGTCAGGTGGACTTCCCAGAACAGGCACAGGGAGAGGAGAGGCTGAGAATTCATAGCACCCCAGAGATGCCTGTTGTTCTGGGAGGGGGTCAGAAGGGTCAAAATTTAGCAGCCATTGTCCCTTGTCACTCTCCCCCTCCCCAAGTCACCCCATAACAGTTTCCCTGCATCCCTCATCTCCTGCTCTTTCGTCTATCCTCCTTACTGAGGATTCAACTTGGCATCCATGGTTTCCCAACTGCTTTGGTCCTCTGAAGTGGCTAGAGAAGAATCTCCAGAACGATTCTCCAAGAGTGCAGGAAGAGCAGGAAGTCGCATCTCCTAACAGCCCCTCCTGTGTCCCACATGGAAGTAAATAGGACATGCAGCAGAAGGCTTGAGGCCCCAAAGTCCAGAGGTGCAGGACCTTCAGCTAGGGGAAACACAGCAGGTAGCCTGCAGGATGTCAGCTTGTCCTGCTCCTGTCCCTCTGCCATCTCTTTCTAGCTCTACTATTCCTCCTCTTTGAGGTCCCTATTGCAGTAGCAAGGCAAGCAGGGGCACTGGACAGTTAAGACATCTCTATCTCTGTCACCTTGTCCAGCTTCCCACAGTTATCATGGTCACCATCTGCTGATACTGGCCAGGCTTCTGGTACCCAGAGTCCCACTTTATATAGATGGGTGCTATGCACTGCTTGTATCCAGGTGTCCCCTATGCTTGCCAGTGGCTCTCTGCCTCCCCACCCATGGCATCTGGTCATTGCTGTCTCTCCCTCTTTATCCATGCTTCCTTGTCTCTCGGGCAGCTCAGGTGGAAAGGGGGCAAAGCTTTCTTCAGATGCACATACAAATGAGACTCAAAACACCACTAAGGGAGGATAGAGGTGTAGTCCAAGGCTGAGGACCCCATGCAAAATCTCAGCACCATTTACATAGTTTCCACATCCCAACCCCTCTATAAAGGGAGAGGTGCTGTCCTGGGGGCTCTTGTAAGGGATCCCCAGTCTTGTCATCCAGTGCCCCTGTACTCTGTTCCATAGCTAATATACAGTGAGGCTTGTCATCCCCACAAACATTCTGGGGATACCAATATTGGCTCTCCCAGAGCCTGGGCCCTGAGCCATGCACAGGAAGTTCATGGCTGGTTATCCAGAACTGCATAGGACAGATTTCCCCACAAGAGGAGCCTTAAGAAGCCCCAGGGAGGTGATACAGGTTTTCCCAGATGTGTGGCACACTTGCTGGCAAGCTCGAGACAACAGACCACTTTTCCTCCCCTTTAAGGAGGCTCAGGGGAGTACAGGGTCGCCATCATCTAAAGCCACTTTCCAAAAAAGGCCATATCATCATCTATTCCAGGCCTCAGGGAATGGACGCAGCCACAGCTCCAAAGCAAGCCTGGCTCCCCTGGTCCCCACTCCTTTTCCTGCTCCTCCTACCTGGAGGGAGCATCAGTAGCTGCCCTACTGTGTGTGACTGCACTTCCCAGACCCGGGCAGTACTCTGTGCCCATAGGCGACTGGACGCTGTCCCTGGAGGGCTTCCTTTGGACACAGAACTCCTGGACCTGAGTGGAAACCGCCTGTGGGGGCTTCAGCGGGGCATGCTCTCCCGATTGGGCCAGCTCCAAGAACTGGACCTCAGCTACAATCAGCTCTCTACCCTTGAGCCTGGGGCCTTCCATGGCTTACAAAGTCTACTCACTCTGAGGCTCCAGGGCAATCGACTGAGAATTGTGGGCCCTGGGATCTTCTCAGGTCTGTCTGCTCTCACACTGCTGGACCTCCGCCTCAATCAGATTGTCCTCTTCCTAGATGGGGCTTTTGCTGAGCTAGGCAGCCTCCAGCAGCTGGAGGTTGGAGACAATCACCTGGTGTTTGTGGCTCCTGGGGCCTTTGCAGGGCTGGCCAAATTAAGTACCCTCACCCTGGAACGCTGCAACCTCAGCACAGTGCCTGACCTAGCACTTGCCCAGCTCCCAGCACTAGTAGCTCTTAGGCTACGAGAACTGGATATTGAGAGGCTGCCAGCTGGGGCACTTCGAGGGCTCGGGCAGCTAAAGGAGCTGGAGATCCACCACTGGCCATCTCTGGAGGCCCTGGACCCAGGGAGCCTGCTTGGGCTCAATCTGAGCACCCTGGCCATCACCCGCTGCAATCTGAGCTCAGTGCCCTTCCAAGCACTGTACCACCTGAGCTTCCTCAGGGTCTTGGATCTATCTCAGAATCCTATCTCAGCCATCCCAGCCCGAAGGCTTAGCCCCCTGATCCGGCTCCAGGAGCTCAGGCTGTCGGGGGCCTGTCTCACTTCCATCGCTGCCCATGCCTTCCACGGCCTGACTGCCTTCCACTTGCTGGATGTAGCAGACAACGCTCTTCAGACTCTAGAGGAAACAGCCTTCCCTTCTCCTGATAAACTGGTCACCCTGAGGCTGTCTGGTAACCCCCTAACCTGTGATTGCCGCCTCCTCTGGCTGCTCCGCCTCCGCCACCACCTGGACTTTGGCACGTCCCCCCCTGCTTGTGCTGGCCCCCAGCATGTCCAAGGGAAGAGCCTAAGGGAGTTTTCAGACATCCTGCCTCCAGGCCACTTCACCTGCAAACCAGCCCTGATCCGGAAGTCAGGGCCTCGGTGGGTCATTGCGGAGGAGGGAGGGCAAGCTGTTTTCTCCTGTTCTGGAGATGGAGATCCAGCGCCCACTGTCTCCTGGATGAGGCCTCAAGGAGCTTGGCTGGGAAGAGCTGGGAGAGTACGGGTCCTGGAGGATGGCACACTGGAGATTCGCTCTGTGCAGCTTCGGGACAAGGGGGCCTATGTCTGTGTGGTCAGCAATGTTGCTGGGAATGACTCCCTCAGGACCTGGCTGGAAGTTATCCAAGTTGAACCACCAAATGGTACTCTCTCTGACCCCAACATCACCATGCCAGGGATCCCAGGACCTTTCTTTCTGGACAGCAGGGGTGTGGCTATGGTGCTGGCAGTGGGTTTTCTCCCCTTCCTCACCTCAGTGACCCTCTGCTTCGGTCTGATCGCTCTTTGGAGTAAGGGCAAGGGCCGGGTCAAGCATCACATGGCTTTTGATTTTGTGGCACCTCGGCCCTCTGGGGATAAGAGCTCTGGGGGTAACCGGGTCACTGCCAAGCTGTTCTGATCTTTTCTCCCATGCTGAAGACTACCCAAGTCCACCTCAGAAGCCAAAGGAGAGGGAGGACTAAAGTCTCTTGAACCACAGCTTCATGTCAGACAACACAGCCTCCTACAGCTGTCACTGCATTCTGAAAGCTGCTGTAGTCTGAAGACAGCAATGTCACCTCTTGCCGAGGGCCCCAGGGAGCTATTGATACAGGCCTTATCGCCAAGACAAGCCTCACTTGGCACCCCCACACCAGACAGAAAAGAAATGCATGGCTTCAGTCCCCTCTTCACACATGTATCCTTTAGTATTCAGGACCAGTTGCCAAACACAACCGTAAAATTACTTCAGAAGTGCCACAAACTTCTTAGAGTCCACTCATCTGGCAGGCATTCTCCCTTTCTTTTCTGCTACCCAGTACCAAATCCAGCAGCACCCCTGGGTGCAAGAAGGAACTAGAGCCAAGGATTCAGAGGATGCCTGGGAGTGTGGCCTGATTACACTATGGCACTCTGCTGGGAGGCAGGAGCCTCTACCACCTTACTGACTGCCGAAGCCACCACAGTGGCAACAAAAATGAATCATGATCTCGGGAACTTTATTTACTTCAGACTACTTCTTTCCCTTCCTCCCATTTCAGCTATTGATCATCCAGCCTCCACTTTTCCCTTTACTCTTCTTTCTAGGGCCAAAGAAGACAAGATTCCCCCACCTTTGAAGGGATCCCTATACAGAAACCTCCTATTTCACATCTTCGGTATTCCAGTGTTACAGGTCCCAAGCATGCTTGGCAAGGGGAAAGCCAGAGGGAAACGCCTAGAGAAAGGCTAACAAACACAAGAATGTGCAGCTGGGGGCAAGGATGGGGCTCTGTAAGCCACAGTGAGAAGTGGAGGCAAGAGGGCAGCAGCTGCCTGGATGCTTCACACCAGCCTCAGCTCCCCAATCTGGATTCAGTATGGCCCTAGTGGGAAGCTGTCCCTGGATAAATGTCACCTCAAAGAGGACGTGGAGTGAGAGGTAGAATTGCTGACTGCTACTTGCGCTTCCAACAGAGGGCGGAGTCGAGCTCCAAAGCACAGAGATGCTGGGTGCTCTAGACAGTGGCAGCTTCAGCATCAGAAGGGGAGGAGGAAAGGGGGGTAGGGAGGACAGGAGGAGGGACTGACAAATGGTGAGTCGTGCAGCCCTAGCGAGCCTTTTTCTCTTGGCTGCAGCATCTACCCAGTGTCCTTAGTTTCCTTCCTCCTTGCTGAGTCCCTGCCCACCTCACACCATGAGCTTTCTTGTGGCTGCTGTTGCCTTGCTAGGAGGAGACTCCATTCACTGCAAGATTCCCAGCTCAAACTGTCCCTGACAGGTGAGCGCAGCTGGTGGCACTGAGCCAGCAAAGCTGCACTGAGAGGACACAAGCGCACAAGCACTTGGGAGCAGTGGAGAAGTGGCTGTGAGAGTTTAGGTGTTTATAGAGCAAGGCTTGAGAAACAGGCAACCCTAAGACCCCCAAGCTGCTCCATGCCCTCACAGTCCAAAGAGCATTTAGGCAACCTCCTCTCCCTCATCTTCTACCAGCAGCTTGTTAGGTTGGGACCTGGGAGATGCCTGTGGTTTGCTCCCTACTACCCTGATTCTAAGAGTTATCTTTTCTATTTTATGTGTATGTATGAGTGTCGGCATGTATATATGTGTACCACGTGCGTACTTGGTGCCCACAGAAGCCAGAAGAGGACACTAGATCCCTGGAACTGGAGTTTCACGTGGCTGTGAGCCAACATCTGGGTGCTGGTAACCAAACCCCGGTCCTCTACAAGAGCAACAAGTGCTCTTAACCACTGAGCATCTCTCCAGCCTCCCTCCCAACTCTGCCCACCCCCAGCCCCCCCTTTTAAAACAAAGTCTTACTGGCTGGCCTGCAACTCAATATGTAGACCAGATTGACTTTAAACTCACAGAGGTGTGCCTCTGCCTCGAAAGCATGGGACACCATGCCCACCCCACCTACACCCCAATCCTTATTCTTATTTTAAAACAATCTTTTCTCATTTTACATACCAAACTGTCCACTCCCTCCCCTTCTTCTGCTCCTCCCCTTCCCCCCATCCCACCCCTCATCAACTTCTCAGAGAGAGAGGGTAAGGCTTCCTTCCCATGGGGTATCGACAAAGTCTGGCACACCAATCCTTATTCTTGCATAGCTTTCCCAGGAAGCCTTGGAGAAGTGAAGCCCGTTCATTTAAGGTCACTGTGTTGAGCACTCTCACAGCTTTTCTGGTAATCTGCAAGTCAGTTCTTTATCTGACCTTCGCCTGGAGAGAGGGTGCTCTTAGCTCAGCTGATTGCACAGGTTAGGGTGTGTGTGTGTGTGTGTGTGTGTGTGTGTGTGTGTGTGTGTGTGTGTGTGTGTTTAATCCTCATATCAAGCCTAAAGATAAATTAGATTAAGTTGTTCAAGTGTACTTGAACTCAGAAGTGACTGACACAAAGGTTACCATTTCTGCTATATCACATAGTCTCTGTTACACTCTTGTAAGACTTTTCTCAGAGCCTCTCAGTTGTATGACATGAAATCGTGAGAAAAGGGACATTTCCTATCCTACGCACTCCAATGTTAAGGGGATATGGGTCCAGCTGTTGATTCTGGCTTCTCTTCTGTAACTGATGTGCTTGACTCAGGACACTGTTTTTCCTTTCTTCTCCCTGTCTTCTTAGTAGTCTGCCTCAAGGGCTGCGAAAAAGACCAGAAATTCCGGGCATCAGACAGATGGAAAGGGAATGCCTGTGTCTCCCAGAAAAGAATTTTATCATGATTAAAACATGGATCTTTCAGGGGTTCTAACTTCAGAAACCTCTTAGTTTAAAGAAAGGCTTCCAGTATGTTAGAACAACCAGGTCATTTGACTCCACTCACCCTGCCCAGCTTTTGCCAACACCCACTGGAAAGGACCTTCTTTCTGTTTTGAAAGAGCATCAAAACTTCTAGGCTGACAGAACTACAGATCCAAAGCCCTCTGGGACTATTTCAGCACTCTGGCATATCAGTCCCTGGTAGATGGATTTCTCTAAGTTCTGATTTCTGGCTTTTCTGTGCTATGCTGGATTCTGTTCAAGGGTGAAAACCCTGCAAAGCAGCACCCTCACCTTTGAGTCAGACTTCTCTTGAGACTACGGGGTGTAAGCGATGATGGAAAATGTTGCCCATTATCCAGGCACCCAAAGCCATCACAGACCCCATGGAGTGCAGGTTAAGGTCTTGGGTCTTGGAAGTAAAGCAGGAGTAAAGCTGAGGTGAGCAGGCTGCCTTTGCTATCCCCCCCTCCTGCCCATTCATTAAAAACAAAGACAAAAGGGTCACAGTGTAACAGAAGTGCTACAGCAGGTGCTATGGCAGGCAGTCCCTTTGCCCTGCTACCAGCCCTCAACTCTCAGGGACAGGTAAAGGCCTCTGGGTGGGACATGAAGATAACTCAGACTGGACAATATCTCAGAATAGCATCCCACAAATTCTGTTCCTTCAAACTGCTTTGTAAAGGAAACCAAGAAGGAAGCCTTTCAAGTGTGGTGGTAGAGGAGGCTGAGACACCTGATCAATCTGGTATAAAGACAAGACAGCAGCGCCAGCAGAAATGACACAAGTAAGCCTCCTGGTATCTATTACTAGTTTCTGGCAGAGATTTGACTGATGAGGAAGCTGTGACTCCCACAGCGGGGCAAAAGGAGAGATAAATGCTGCTTTCAACGGCTTACACAACACAGTATCAGTTGAAAGGACCAGTCACATGTGGCTGGGGAAGGGAATGCTGAGCTGGAGCTCGGAAGCCAGGCTACCTTTGAGAACCCCATGCTATCCAAAGTTGGCTTTTTTTTTTTTTTAATACATGTCACTGTATGGGCATGTGCATGAGAATGCAAGTGCCCACAGGTGCCAGGGGCCGTGGACTGCCCTGAATCTGTAGTTATAGATGGCTGTGAGTGGCCTAGGAAGGGTGCTGGGAACTGCTCCAGAAGAGCAGTATGAACTCTTAACTGAGCCAGACCCCAAACCCTAATGCCAGCTTTCTGGTTTGGCTTACTGATTACAAACACCTGTCCATTGAAGCCCAGGCTGCCCAGACTTTAACTCACTTTACCTACAACATCCTGAAACCTGTTCAGAAGCTTTTCAAGGAAAGAGAAGCTTTTTAAAAGGAGCTAGAAAGTAAAGAGATCACAATTTATCCAATCCAGCATCTCACAACTTCAATCCTGATTTGTGTTCCTGAGAGAAATGAGATGACCAATCCAAAAGTCAGTGATCTGGGAGTGAGTTTGAAAGCATTTCACTTATTCCTTCTGCTCCCCAAATTCCTTACCCAGACAGTGAGACAGGAACCCCTTGAGGAGCAGTAACACCTGAATTGTTATTACCCTGATTAAGGAGTCCCTCCAGGGCTGGAAAGATAGCTTAGCAGGTAAAGACTGATGTGACCTGGGTTCAATCTACGGGACCCATAAGGTAAAAGGAGGGAAACGACTGTCACAAGTTGATCTGTAACACACATGCAGTAGCAGGGACATGGCCACACTCTCACACACACGTTATTAAATAAATTTAAAAACATGTTAAGACAGTCTTCCTGTGTTATAATTTTAGGGGTTTTTTGTTTGTTTTTGTTTGTTTGGTTGGTTGGTTGGTTTTTAGAGACAGGGTTTCTCTGTATTCCTTGGATTTAAATACTCCACCTTTTTAAGCCGGGTATTGGTGGCACACGTCTTTAATCCCAGCACTCAGGAGGCAGAGGCAGGAGGATCTCTGTGAGTTCGAGGCCAGCCTGGTCTACAGTGTGAGTGCCGTGCCAGGATAGGCTCCAAAGCTACACAGAGAAACCCTGTCTCGGAAATAAATACTCCACCTTTTTAAATTAAAAATAGCTATAGTGGCTATTTCCTAGGTAATGGCAATTGCTGCCAAGCCTGACAACCCAATTTGTTTGTTGTTGTTGTTTTTGTTGTTTTTGTTGTTTTTTGAGACAGGGTTTCTC